GAAGTCTAGTTTCATGCATATTTAATAATTGCTTTAACTTAAGATAAGGTATCATCGCTTTGGACTAACTAAGAGTCGTCTGATCTCAATTTGCTGACATTCCATTGTTGAAGTAATTGGTTGTGTATATTATTGTTCCATAATTACACCCACTACTTTATCCTAATTTCTCGACACAATTTGCAGATGCGTAGATCCCTGTTTTTGTGTGTGTGTGTGTGTGTTGGGGATAGAGGGGTTTGTGGGAATAACTTGCTGATCTAGCTCAAAGAGGAGTAAATTATTAATGTGTGGTTTTGCTTTAAACGGCTCTCTGAACAACGACAATAAATAAAAGTTCATCCCACTCCCCGGCTCCTGCTCCGAGTTTGAAAATGGCCAATTCCCAATTGTGTCCTAAAGATACCAACTTTAGCAAAAAGCCCCTTCCCATCCTCAAAGTCCTTAAAGGTGGTTTTAATGGTAACAATGTGATGACGTGGCTGGCCTGTGTGATACAGATCCCCTCCAGCATAACCTTCAAGGAATCGTGCAGCTGTGAGTGGAACACAGCTTTATGACTTATTCATTCGCTAAACGTGAGCAACTAAGAGAGGGTTCACAAAGGGGTCCTTTCAATCTGATTTTGACATTTAGTTGAACGTCGACTTGCGTCCTGGAGGTACAGCAGGTCCTTTCGCCTTTGGATATGTTACCCAAACTGTTGCCCCTGTCGCCAGACTCAGCGCAACCGACTGACTCAATGGAATTGGAAACTGATCACTTGCACACGGCTCCTGGTGAGATAAGTAATTCACTTTACAGTATGTTCTGTGAAGCGCTTTGGGACGTCCTCCCGACGTGAAAAGCGCTATATCAAATGCAAGGATTATTATTATTATTATTATTCTGCGAAGAGCTTTGAGATGTCTCAACGATGTGATAAGGATCATTATTTATTTATTTGGGGTTCAGTGTCCCGATTCCTGTTTGAATCCTCCGTATAATGTTTAGATGATGTCGGTTTTTCAGGGTGGGTGTAAACGCTTTCAAAGTGTTTCACCGTGTAGAGAGCAATGTTGGCTAAATGGAGGACAGGTCACCTAGTTGTTTGTGGCGAGCATAACAAATACCATGACAGACAAATACAGATACACTCTTCGGTAACTTAGCAAAGCACTTTGAGACGTTCTCGAGTGGATGAGGTGCTGTACCACACGCAAACATTATTATTATTGTAGCCTTTGTGAAGTAAGTGCTTGTGGCACGACCTGGAGATGTGCAGTTATGAATCAGACAGATATATTGCTACATCTCAGTGATGTGCAGATAGATTGTTTGTAAAGCATTAGTGCACAAGCTCATTCCTTAGGGAGGAGAGAGAGAAGATAGTCTTACATACTGAATAACAACCCTCCACCCCAAAAAAAAACATCTGCCACCTGCTCTTCCCTGTAATGATCAATTCAGTGAATACATGTACACATTAGGTAGCACTTAACAGTCCATACAGATCAGGAGGACTATTGTGTAAAGCAATAACTGTTACTGAGAAACTAAGAAGTGGTGTTTATTATTGTGTGTGTGTGGGGGGGGGGGGGGGGGGAGGTGTTAACACATTGCAGTGTGACTGGTCTCACACTCTGCTTAAGTGAGTGAATGAGGGAGGGAGGGAGGCAGGGAGGGAGGGAAGATTATGATAATCGCCCGCCCCCCCCAAAAGAAATTTCACAATTCATAATAGATTTCAAAATCCATGAGATTGCATTTCATGTGCAGTCACTCAACCAGTCTGGATGGAAAACCATCAAATTAAGTGCTTGGTACACAGCAACTATTTCTCTTCCCCCCCCCCCACACACACAGCCACAGCCCCCCCCCCCCCCCCACAGCCCCCCGCACAGCCGCAGCCCCCCGCACAGCCGCAACCCCCCGCACAGCCGCAGCCCCCCGCACAGCCACAGCCCCCCCACAGCCACAGCCCCCCCACAGCCACAGCCCCCCCACAGCCACAGCCCCCCCCCACAGCCCCCCCCCAGCCCCCCACAGCCCCCCCCCCACAGCCCCCCCCCACAGCCCCCCACAGCCCCCCACAGCCCCCCACAGCCCCCCACAGCCCCCCCCCCACAGCCCCCCCACAGCCCCCCCCCCCACAGCCCCCCACAGCCCCCCCCACAGCCCCCCCACAGCCCCCCCCCCCCCACAGCCCCCCCCCCCCCCCCACAGCCCCCACAGCCCCCCCCACAGCCCCCCACAGCCCCCCCCACAGCCCCCCACAGCCCCCCACAGCCCCCCCCACAGCCCCCACAGCCCCCCCCACAGCCCCCCACAGCCCCCCCACAGCCCCCCACAGCCCCCCCAGGGCTTATTTCTTTGTGGAAAATACATAAAACATAGTGAGAGAGAAGTTGGGGTCTCTGGTGCCATAGGGTGAGAGCTCAGATCGCTGTCCACAGCTGTGGTGCTGAACGGTGTACAACACTGAGCAGCAAAGCACAAGTTGTACACAGTCCCTGTGCCCTCAGTCACCTTCACCCCTCGTGCCTTCCATTTCCCTTTGCAATATTTTCATTTACGGTATTTTGCGCACAAAGCGGTGGGGGCAGGGAGTAGGCCGACGTATTGTATTTCACTCGGAAAATGTACAGTCACTACGCTTTACGGCGTATCCCGGGGGAGGGCTTTGAGACGTCTCGAAGACGCGATAAGGCGCTGTATCAAATGCGAGGATTATTATTATCAGTTATTATTGTTGTGGAACCTTTTTTTTTCCTGTGATATGAATCCCTTTCCACCCTCCGCACTGATCTCCACGTGTCTGTGCGCTTTGACTGAATGTGTACAGAACAGGTTCCGTGTTACCTGCCTCCGCTACACTATCATGTGCACAAGACATGACAAGACAAGATCACCCTCCCGCTGATTAGCACCAGATACTCCGAGGTGGGAACCGGGAGGCGCTGCGATGTCGCGTATTTTAAGTGAGAGGAAGGCGTGAAAATTGCACAGAATTATAGAATTTGCTCGGGGTTCAGTTCAATGCAAATGCAACTCAATTCAAACTGGGACTGCGTAACAAGAGAAGGGGAGTGTGTGTATGGTGTGTTTGGGGGGGGGGGCTAAGGGTGTGTGTGTGTCTGAGTGTTTAGGGTGGGGCACTGAGGGTGTGTGTGTTGGGGGGGGGGGGCTAAGGGTGTGTCTGAGTGTTTAGGGTGGGGCACTGAGGGTGTGTGTGTTTGAGGAGGGAGGTGCTGAGGGTGTGTGTGTGTCTGAGTGTTTAGGGTGGGGCACTGAGGGTGTGTGTGTTTGGGGGGGGCTAAGGGTGTGTGTGTGTCTGAGTGTTTAGGGTGGGGCACTGAGGGTGTGTGTGTTTGAGGAGGGGGGTGCTGAGGGTGTGTGTGTGTCTGAGTGTTTAGGGTGGGGCGCTGAGGGGGTGTGCGTGTTTGAGTGTTGGGGGGCTGAGGGTGCGTGTGTTTGTGTGTGTTTGAGTGTTTGGGGGGGGGGCTGAGGGTGTGTGTGTGTGAGGGTGGGGTGTGTGTGTTTGTGTGTGGGGTGGGGGGCTGAGGGGGATGTGTGTTTGGGGGGGCTGAGGGTGTGTGTGTGTGAGGGTGGGGTGTGTGTGTTTGTGTGTGGGGTGGGGGGCTGAGGGGGATGTGTGTTTGGGGGGGGCTGAGGGTGTGTGTGTTTGTGTGTGGGGTGGGGAGCTGAGGGGGATGTGTGTTTGGGGGGGCTGAGGGTGTGTGTGTTTGAGTGTTTAGGGTGGGGGGGCTGAGGGTGTGTGTTTGCGTGTGGGGTGGGGGGCTGAAGGGGATGTGTGTTTGAGGGGGGGGCTGAGGGTGTGTGTGTGTTTGCGTGTGGGGTGGGGGGCTGAGGGGGATGTGTGTTTGAGGGGGGGCTGAGGGTGTGTGTGTGTTTGCGTGTGGGGTGGGGGGCTGAGGGGGATGTGTGTTTGAGGGGGGGGCTGAGGGTGTGTTTGTGTGTGTGAGTGTTTAGGGTGGGGGGGCTGAGGGTGTGTGTGTGTGTGAGTGTTTAGGGTGGGGGGCTGTGTGTGTGTGTGTGTGTGAGTGTTTAGGGTGGGGGGCTGAGGGTGTGTGTGTTTGAGTGTTTAGGGTGGGGGGCTGTGGTGTGTGTGTGTGAGTGTTTAGGGTGGGGGGGGTGAGGGTGTGTGTGTGAGTGTTTAGGGTGGGGGGTGAGGGTGTGTGTGTGAGTGTTTAGGGTGGGGGCTGAGGGTGTGTGTGTGAGTGTTTAGGTGGGGCTGTGTGTGTGTGTGTCTGTGGGAGGGGGGGGTGGGGGTAGAAACTCTGCACCCCTCCCTCACGGGTGCGTTGGTTGCCGAGTGGACATCAATTTAAAAAAAAGGAAATAAAAAGATTTTAAAAAAGAAGACCCCCCCCTCCCCCCCCCCCCAGGCACAGAGAGTGGGGGGGGGGGGGGGGGAGAGATGATCCAACGCGCTATGGGATGGATTAATTCGATTTGATTTGATTTGATCTGAAACCGCGCGTCGGGTTTGCGATCCCTTTGGATGACTGTGAGGAGCTGCGGAGCTCAGGTGGTCTCCGGGAGGAGTGGGATTGGGTTTGGAGCGGATCTGCTCAGATGCTCAGATGTACGTGAGCGGATGGGATGGGATGGGACGGGACCTGGTGGCGATGGATCAGGACTGACTGGACTGGACTGGACTGGAGCCAGACACGGGATAGGGTTTACTGCCTTCACTCACAGTGCTGACCAGCCATCGACCCGACCCAAGACAACGCACACAGACATTACATTACACACACTTTGCCTATGGGACCAGTTCGGGGGCTGAGGCAGATTGGAGCTGGGCTGAGCTGGACTGGGCTAAGCTGGTGAGGTCTGAACCGAAGCGATTTCCCCCCTCCCCAACAAAGCCCTTGCTGTGTGCTGCTCTCTCTGGGGCTGAATGAAGAGTTAACGTTGGCAGACAGTTTTGGAGACAGACAGAGAGACAGACAGACAGACAGACAGACAGAGCTGCTGCTGATGCTGTTCTGCTGCTCGTTGTGGGTTGGGTTTGGGTTCGGGGGTTAACCCCGTCCTGTGAAAAGCAGCTTCAGACCCCCATGCAGGAGGATGCTGATGGGCAATGACTGGCGACAGTGAGGACCACCTTTGTCAGAAAGCGCTCGACATAGTGACAGAGCTCTGCTTTAAGGGTATCGTCGAGCACGAAAGCTGCTTGGATTTCTCCCATTCTTTACGTGATCGAGGCCGACCCCGCCATCAGGAATCAGGTAAAATAATAATAACTAATAACACTAAGGTAATAATAATAATAACCAGAACAATAAACTGATAATAACTATGATAAACTAATAACAACTCTAATAATAAATAATAATAACTAATAATAACTAATAATAATAGCATATGGAAAGCCCCCGGTTAAGGTATCTGATCTGATCTGATCTGACGCTGGTTTTATCAATTCACTTTATATATAAAAAAGAAATCATTTGATGTGTGTGTTAGCTGTGTCTAACTGCTCAGGGGAGGGGGGGGGGGTGGATGGGCGATTTGTCTTTATCAATGCAGTGTGTGTGTGTGTTTGAATGTAGACCCAATGTCTACACATTGGAAGGACCACTGGCCACCAAAAAAGCGACTGAGATCCCCCCCCCCCCCCCCCCCCCACACACACACACACTGATCAGACAAGTTAAAGGCCATTGAGGAAATCATTGTAAAAATGAAATGTAACGGTTGCTCCAATAATAAGATTGCTCCAATAATACTCTTAGCCCTGACGATGAATTCCAGCACAATATTTGGCTGTAAAGGGGTTGGGGTGAGTCTTGGACAAGTCAGAGAATTGACCCTTTCTCTTTCTCTGCTATTGCCTTTCTCGACATGGGATTTGAAGGGTTAATTGGGCTAATTCGCTCTCGTTTCCGAGCGAAGTAAAATTGGCCGTAAAATTGCACCAAGTGACCGATCTGTTGCTGAAAAAAAAGTTGCAGTTTAGTACCTGAGCTGAAGGTGTGAATAATATGGTTCGCTTTCTGATGCTTTAATGGAAAACTAATGGAAAACGACAGTGGACTGTCGACAAGTGCGCGTTGAGGGGTAATTTATGAATGGTGCACAGTTCAGTTCAGGTCTTAACAGTTGTCCAGTTGTAACATGAATGGCAGTGTCCGTGTGGTGTGGGGAATGGAACAAAGTGTGTGTTATTCCGCCCATTTCATCTGAAACTCCCCCCCCCCCCCCCAAAAAAAAAAGATGTGTATCTCTCATAGCCTTGTGAATAAAGCTCTGTGTTTTTGTGTGTCTGTGTGTGTGTGTGAGAGAGAGAGCAGTATTGGTCTCTGAAGAATGTGTAGTTTGGAAAGTTTTAAAAAGTAAATCGATCTTTAGTGACTGTACTTCAACAACAAAAAACTTGCATTTATACAGCGCCCCTCACGCAGAGTAACATTCCCAGAGTTCAGGCCAAACTCCTATAATAATAATAATAATAATCCTTGCATTTGATATAGCGCTTTTCACGTCGGGAGGACGTCCCAAAGCGCTTCACAGAACACACTGTGAAATGAATTAACTGTATATTTGTGGGTGAACGCGGCAGCCAATTGCGCACAGCAATGTCCCACAAACAGTCGTAGATTGAAAATGACCAATTTATTATTGTTTTGGGTTTTGGAGGGAATATTATTAGGCTCTGTGTGGAGTAAGGAAATTTGCCCAAGGTTGGCTGAATGTTCAACAAGAATGTTCTGCCATTGACTGTTTAGTGACTCAACATCTGTTTCTTATATTTCTTTTAAAAATCTTTGTGTTTGTTTTGTAATCGCCCAATGGTTCAATGAGTTAGGTCTTTGGATCCTCAAGACTCTGTTAAGGGGAGTCCACCCGAAAGCTATTTCCTAGTAAATGCACATATTTTCCTCAATCAGAATCTATTCTGTAACGGTAATGGTATATGGTTGGTAATAAGTAAGGACATCAATAAAAACAAGGCTACCACACCCTATTATTGATTGCCATTTTGTATTCCAAAGAAATGGGTAAGACTGTGCCATGACTGTAGAGTTATGGCACATTTTCTGCCACGTGTATAATTATTTAATTTCTGTTCATAATCTACGTGACGCTACTAGTATTAGAATAAAATCCAAACAACATCAACGTGTATTCATATGGCCACGGTTAGCGCCTCAGAACACTTAAAAATTAACCCCTCATTTGAAGAGATAAGTGTGGGTGAAATAAGATGCATTTTGTAAATACATTAAATATTTATTTGGAATTAAATAAGACAGCAGTAATGGCATTTCTTATTGCTTTTAGTAACATACTGTACTCATGATCGATAGGGGTTTTTAAAAAAAAGAAGAAATGGATCTTGAGTTGATTTTTTCTTTTTAGCCTTGCTGGTTAAGACTTAAGACTTTATGACTTGGGCTTAAGGGTCCCAGACTAATAGGGTGTAAGACTTTAAGTGCAGTGACTCCATATATATGTGTGTGTGTGTGTGTGTGTGTGTGTATATATCCATGCGCACTCAACATAAAGCACCTTTGCTTCAGTGTAAATTCACATTACATTGGAAACCATTACATTGGAAAATGGAAGCATTTCCTATTGGTGTGATGGGGAAATTTTTCTACAATTGGGATTGAGGCATAATACTCGCCAGATCCAATAATGTTACACAGCAACAAATAGGACACAAGCTGCTGATAAAATAGACCATTCTGTTTCAACTACAAATGTGATGAATTGATGCTATTGGGACTAAATGAAACCCATGCAGTGGGTAGATTTCATCTCTTCCAAATGGAGTAGAGTTGGATGTTCTGCCAGACTAGACCCTGGGGGCTGCAACTCCCGTGACAAGGAAACAAAATCATTACTGTCAGCGTTCCTCCTCTTCCTACAGTCGGCTCCTCTTCCCCCTTTGTGGTTTTATTCTTTCTCACCTTAAATTGGCTTTCTGCTCCGATGGCAATATTAAAATTGAAGCAGATATTGAAGCAGAAGGGAAATGTAATTGGAGAGCAATGAACCAGAAGCAGGTGCACTGTGTAGCCATTTCTTTTCATTGCAATGCCATGATTTTTTATCCATTTGTGCCAGTCGTGAAGGTGTCTCTACTATGGACAGGACATTTTGCCAACAGGGCATGTGTTTTTACAAGGTTCAGACCTATATTTCTACAGTGGGATTGAACATAAATGGGGCACTACCAGGAATGTTGAACCAAACTCATGCTAAGTCTGATCTAGAAGTGCTTCAGTGCTAATCCTGTCCTACTTGATCGAGAGGTAAGTGGTATCTCCTCGGGCTGAATGGAATATTGGAATTAAAGCAACTCTTTGTGACAGTCTTGATAGTCCAGTTGTTGAGCCAGTACAGATGGGGCAGTCTCCAAGGCATTATTCATGATGGTCTTGCCAGCAGAGTGGAGTAGCAGACCAGTTGCTTGAGGCAGATATCCTTCCCATTCAGTTCTTATTAATGCTGTAAGCCAATACAAGTAGGATGGTCCTAGCTGGACAAACAGTGGAAAGCTTGTCAGGCAGTGTAGCAAGCTGTGCAGTTTTAGCTGGCTAAACTCCTGCGGTACCCCAACACACAGTCTGGGGTCCCCAAGCCTTACCACTGTGCCTAATATTTTCCAGAACTGGATAAGCAGAGGTGGATCCCTCCAGACACAGGGAAATTTATAATGACATGGAAAAAGTAGATTGTTTGTGAATACTGTAGGGAGAAAAACACATTTGCAATCTGATGTTTGTTAGTCATCATATATGCAGTTTCAGCTTTGGGTTTTTATACAACATTGATTGTTGGTTCATTGAGAATCATTTGCAGTAGATTAACTTGGATGAAATCACCAGATCATGACAAAGGCTGGAGAAAGATTAACATCTCCATCTGTCAATCACAAAAATTATCTTGGAATTATCTGCAACACTCACGAGAGAAAGTCACAGCAGATAAATGGGAGTTTCCTTGACTCAGCATTGATGAAGGTCAAAGATAATCTACTAAAGTAATTTGTTTTGAAACAACGCTGATGGAAAGAAACAATATTGGAAAATGTTTATTCTTTCCATAAAAGAGGTCAGCCTGGCTCAGTTGGTAGCCGTGTCACCTCAAAGTCAGAAGGTTGTGGGTTCAAGCCTCAGATCTGCAACTTGAGCTCTTAACCTAGGCTGGTATTCCAGTGCAGGGGTGGGAGAGAATGCTGATTGCCAAAGGTGTTGTCCTTCAGATGAGAAATCAAACCAAGGTCCCATTGGCCTGATCGGGTGGACTTTAAAGACTCCATGGCACTAGTGAAAAAGAGAAGGGAGTTTCTCCCAGCATCCTGGCTAACAATCCCCAGATAAAAATTATCATTCATGGCTGTTTGTTGGAAATTAATATGCGAGAACTGGCTGCTCGGTTCACCTACAAATGTACACTCACAACATTTCACAGTAAATCCTGTAAAGTGCTTTGAGATTTTTTTGATGTGCGATAAGGCATTAGATCAGATGCAAGGATTATTATCATCATATAATTCAGACATATTTACAAATTGTTTTGGTAATGGGTTTCATGCCCAAATCAGGGTTGTATGGTGATGATTTTGCAGGACTCCTGCTAACCTTGCAGAGATTCCTCTGTGCTACAGGAATCAGAGAGCAAATAGATCTGGGATAGTACTCAAACAAACAACATTTCTATGTTTTATCTATATCCAGTGGGGTTCGAAAATGTAGAAGGATTTTTAGCAAATCTCACCTGCTGCTTTGTTGAATCCCTTTGCAATCAGTGTTTTATATAAAAGTCTGTGCAGTAGCAATTGAATGATAAAAGCTACGAGACAGACAGGGGGAATTACAAGAACCTTTATTCGGCTTTTGATTTCCAATTTATTTGGCCCCATAACACCATGTCTGAGCTGAACATGCATCTGATGTGCACAATCCATTTCAATGCTCAAAAACTGCAGTGTGGTAACATCCAGCCACCAATTGATGGACTCAACTGCTGTGTCCATTACTCTTATGGCAATGTAACTGACAACTTGAAACTTGAACCCCCCTCTCCTTGGAATAGTCATGGGGGTGGGGGGATGAGGAGGGGAGGGAGGTGGAGAGAGAAGAGAGAGAGAGAAGCCAGTACAAGGGTTTTCTTTTTATGCTTACACTGTTCAATCAATTTCCATTTGCCAAAATATCAAATAGGATGGGAAGACCCAATAATAATAAATGATAATCCTTGGCATTTGGTATAGTGCCTTTCATGTCGGCAGAATGTCTCAAAGCGTTTCACAGTGAAGTGCAGTTACCATCATTTGTAGGCCAAATGAAAAATAGATATAAATGATAAATCATTCTAAAGCACTCTGAGACATTTTGATGTGATAAAATGCTGTGAAAGTGCGAGTCCTTCCTTTCAGTGTGAATCATAAAAGTTTGCAACTGCTTTTTAAAGAGGTATAAATTCAGAACAAATCTGCGGAAACACTACCTCAGGGAGTGAGTAGTAAACGTATGGAATAGGCCCCCCCCTTCGGGGGATAGACGGTGGAGGCAGAAAATGCTGCTTGCTTCAAGAACAAATTAGATAGATTTCTGCTCGAAAATAATATCTCGGTATACAGTATGTAGTTTGGGGCACGACTTGCTAAGCGACTGCCAGGATGGTGGAAGGCGAAATAGATGGACTTTGTTTTTCTTTTGTCAGAAAATTGTTATGTTCTGATGACAAGACTCCATCGTTAAGAAAGTAGACCTGTAGAAGCAATGGACACAGACTATGATGTCGCAGAGTAAAGTCCTGACATTTTGAAATACTGTTAATCACCACTTTATGTTGTCACATAACATTTCATTTAAGTGCTGGCAGCAAAATAAGCTCATGATTTTTCCTCGCGCTGATCTTTTCTGCCAAAGAGTAAACTTCATTTAACTCAATGAATTAAAAGCTTTTGGATTGATTGATTGTGTGCGCTCTGCATTCTATCCTGTCACAGCTCTTTGGTGGACTTCTAATTTGTGACTGCAATACAACATGATGAAATATTCATTCAGATCCCTTCAGAACATCTGAAAGGGCTACCGCTGGATTCTGCATCACAGTGAATCATTAATGCTACAGAGATCCAGATTAAAGGGCATCGAAACCCGAAATCTAGATGTGGACGAGCAGAGGGATCACTTGCAGCTGTGCGATTATTTTCTTATGTTTAGCCAAGCATTGCGATTAGTTCTGAAAATGGCACGCAACCCAACTCACTTGGGGTTTTGGTCACTGCAGCTCATCTATTTTACTTTCATCTGAAAGGTCAATGGTGTATCTGTACACAGAAAGTTCCTGCTGTAAATATTCCCCGTGTGATAACTGAGTCCTGGTGTGTGAGCATTAATTTAGTTACTTGTCTCGCACTCTCAGTATCACTTTAATTTTAAAAATGATGATGATGAATGTTGATTCAATTTAACATCTGTTGGCGTCCTGTGTGTTTTATTGATGCAAATAGCAATGCCAACAATTCCATTGCAGTAACTGATCGGAGTTACTTGACTGGACACTAGGAGAGAAATGCACAGTGGAGTTAAGACAGCAACATTCACACAGTTAGGTAGAGTGATATGGCACAGAAATTGGCCATTTGGCCCAACTAGAGCCAGAGAAGCTGATGAATAAAGAATGGCCACTTGGGTGAAGGACCAGAGGATTTGTGGGTCTATACTCCAGCATGAATCAGCTCCTTGAGAAAAGGGCAAATTGACAAACACTGTTCATTGCTGCATTGAAAGAACAACAAAATCACCAATGCACATTTTGCTGTAATTTGCAACCGGCAACCGATTTTATTGTATAACTACGGTACAGCAATAAGAAAAGTTTGCACCTTATAATATGCCAGCGGTCAGGTAGCTTCATAGAATAGTGCCCTGTTTGATAGTTAAAATCTGTCTTGAATCTTGAAAAAATGGGTGCAAATCATTACTGGTTCAAGGTGTGGTTTCTGTTTCATTTCTATACGCTCGGGGTTTGGTGGATTACAAAATTGCGAGGTGAAATTGGAATGAAATTTTTGATCATTATTCATTATATTTAAATTGAAAGCATCTGTTTGCTCATTTCAGATATTTCCATAAGCCTGCTGTCTCTGGTGGTGACTGCCTGCGGCCTTGCACTTTTTGGGGTGTCGTTGTTTGTCTCCTGGAAACTCTGTTGGATCCCATGGCGTGAGCGAGCAGTGTCGTCCAACACCAAGGAGAGTCAACAGGACCAGCAGCACTACGCTGATGAAGAGCCAAACGGACAGGAATACAGTCAAGACTTCCTGAAAGAGCCTGCCCCCTTTCCCGATTCAGCCATGAAGATTAGCCACACCTCACCTGATATCCCCTTGGATGTCCAGGCCAAGAACAAGGAGAACTGTGCTCATAATCTGCGAATGCAACGGCAAGTCACTGAGCCAACATCGTCATCAAGGTCAGTGGTACAGTCTTTAAACTACTGCAGTCAAAAATGTCTCATACATTACTTGTAGTAATGTCCCTCACTGACCCCTCTTCTCCTCACACCCTCCTCCACAACACCCTCTCCTCCACACTCGACACTCTTGCCCCCATCACCTCCCGTACTGTCTCCTACTCTCGCTCCTCCCCCTGGTTCACCACCCACCTCCGCTCACTGAAGAGCCAGGTAGTGGGCCGCTGAACGCACCTGTGACAAATCTGGCCTAACGGTCCACCGACAAATCTGGCTGGACCTCCTCAAAATCTACCGCTCCACTCTAGCCTCGGCCAAGTCGTCCTTCTACTCCAGGATAATCCTGGAGGCGATGAACAACCCCAGGCTTCTGTTTTCTACCACATCCCGACTCCTCCGTCCCCCCCGCCACCCCGCGCAGGTCATCTCCTCCAACCTTCACTGCGAGGAGATGCTGGATTTCCTTGAATCCAAAATCAAGGGAATTCACTCCGCGGTCACTTCCCCTCCAACATCCACCCACCCCCCACCCCCTCCATCCCACACTCCGACTCCTACCCATCCTCCCCTACACACTTTTGTACCCGTTTCCCCACCCTCTGTCACCAAACTCATCCTATCCCTGAAACCCACCATCTGCTCCCTTGACCCCATCCCCACTCCATTCCTTATCTCCCAGCTCCACCTCCTTGCCCCACATATCACAGACATCGTCAACCTGTCCCTCTCCTGTGGCTCTGTTCCCATTCCCTTAAAAACTGCCACCATCACTCCCACCTTGAAAAAACCCTCCCTTGATGCGTCGCAGCTATCAATCTCCGGCCCATCTCCAACCTCCCCTTCCTGTCCAAGGTCCTGGAACGAGTTGTGGCCTCCCAGCTGCGCTCTTTCCTCTCCACCCATTCATTATTCGAACCCCTTCCGTGCTGCCCATAGCACAGAAACGGCCCTGGTCAAGGTCACCAATGACATCCTGACCATCTGTGACCAGGGCTCCCTCTGCCTCCTCATCCTCCTCGACCTATCGGCAGCATTCGATACGGTTGACCATACTATCCTCCACTGCTTGTCCTCCACCTCAACCTTGTCCTTGCCCTGTCCTTGAGTGGTTTAGGTCGTACCTCTCCCACTGTCTTCACTTTGTTTCCACGAATGTTTTTTCCTCCACCCCCCGCACTGTCTCGTGCGGTGTCCCTCAGGGCTCTGTCCTCGGTTCCCTCCTCTTCACCCTCTATACGCTCCCCCTGTGGTGACATCATCCGCAGACATGGGGTTAACTTCCACATGTATGCGGATGACACCCAACTCTACCTTTCCTCCTCTACCCTCAACTCCATGACCACCGATGTCCTGACAGCTGCCTGTCCGACATCGAGTCCTGGATGAGAGACAACTTTCTTCAGCTCAACGTGCGTAAAACTGAGGCCCTCCTGATTGGCTCACGTCAGCGCCTCCGCACCTCAAGCGCTGACAGCATCAGCATCCAAGGCTGCACTCTCCACCTCTCAAAGCCATCAGGAACCTCGGGGTTCTGTTCGACCCTGAGCTGTCCTTTCTCCCTCATATCCGCACCACAACTGGCACCGCCTTCCATCACCTCCAGAACATCGCCAGACTACGGCACTACCTCACCCCTCACGCGGCTGAAACTCTGGTCCACGCCTCTATCACCTCAAGGCTGGACTGTAGGAACTCTCTCCTCGTCGGCCTTCCCGGTCCTCCCTCCACACTGCAGGTCATTCAGAACTCTGCAGCTCGTGTACTGTCCCGCACCAGGCTTCGCGACCACATCACTCCCACCCTCGCTCGGCTCCACTGGCTCCCCATCCCCCAGAGGATCGATTTCAAGATCCTCATCCTCACCTACAAGGCCATTCACGGCCTCGCTCCCTCCTACCTCTCTGACCTACTATCCCCCTACCTACCTGCCCGTACCTTCCGTTCCTCTGGCTCCGGTCTGCTCCACATCCCCCGCCCCAACCGCCCTACCATCGGTGGCCGGGCCTTCAGCCTCTCAGCCCCGAGGCTCTGGAACTCTATCCCCCAGTGCCTTCGCCTTTCCTCCTCCTCAAGACCTTTCTCTTTGACCGTGCCTTCAGCTCCCTCTCGACTCTCTACCCCCTCCTCACTCCCTCCCTTCCCTCCCCTCACCCTGACCATTTCCCCCCTGCTCGAGTCCTGATCCAACTGTACAGCACCTTGGGACGTCCTCCCGACGTGAAAGGCGCTCTATAAATGGAATCTTGTTGTTCTTGTAGATTAACATACCCGTAATATCGATTCCAAAGTTTCTTTTAAAAATCCCATTTTAAACCGAGTTCCTGTCTGCCTGTTCAGGTGAACGTTAAAGATCCCGTGGCCTTTCTCCCTCTCAGTGTCGTGGCCAACAATCCCCCAAACAAAATTTATCGTTGGCTTCATGACGATTTGTGGGATATTGCTGCGTGCACATTGACTGCTTTTACACTTTATCTTGTACACTGCGAAGTGCTTTGAGACGTCTCCTGACATGAAAAGTCTAGATCCAATGTAAGGATTATTATTACTATTATTACCTTGCCTCAATAATGTGCATATTTGCACTTTAACGATAAAGCCTTGTTTATTGGATGTGGGTTGTGGTGCTGTATGATTTCATGATTTTCTATTGAAATGTGATTGTCTTGGTTCCAGGCACAATTCAATAAGGAGACAGTTAAACCTTTCGAACCCAGACTTTGACATCCAACAGTACCAAAGGCAGGAGAAGCCGACAGGGATTGGTCGGATTAAGCCTGAGCTGTACAAGCAAAGGTCAATAGACACAGACGACGGACGGAGGAATAACAACAAATCCTGTGGGAAGATCAACTTTGTGCTGAAGTACGATTGTGACTTGGAGCAGCTCATCGTCAAAATCCACAAAGCCGTCAACCTACCGGCCAAGGACTTCTCCGGCACCTCCGACCCTTACGTGAAGATCTACTTACTCCCAGACCGCAAAACCAAACATCAGACTAAAGTGCATCGCAAGACTCTGAACCCTGTGTTCAACGAGGCCTTTCTCTTCCCCGTCCCCTATAACGAGCTGGTGAACAGAAAGCTGCACTTCAGCGTGTACGACTTTGACAGGTTTTCCAGGCACGACATGATCGGACAAGTGGTGGTTGATAATTTTCTCGAGTTGTCGGACTTTCCCAGGGAAACCATGCTGTGGAAGGATATCCAGCACGTCACCTCGGTGAGTCTCTCGGACCTGTTAAGATGCACATCGTATCTTGTTTATAACACATGTGGCCTGTGGGCCTGGGGCTAAGAGGAGGGCAGAAAATATCCAGCTTCTGCCACTGACATGACACCTATCCTCCGAGTAATGTAGTTGACAATATTATCAAAGTTTTATGGTATCACTGTTTTAGAAAAGCTAATTGTCAAAGAATCAGCAGTGAAGAGGCAATTTAAATGCTGTTATAATGCATTCTCTTGAAATGAGATTCAATGCAGTGTTAAACTGCTATCAGTCATTCAGTTTGCACAGTGCTTATAAATAGAAAGCGCTCTCCCACTTTCAGCTGCATTTCCACAGAATCGTTATTGAATATATAGGTGTTTCTGTTCTTATTTTGCTGCTTCAGATGCGTGTTTCTGTTCATATTTTGACCTCTCCGCTGCACCATCGATGGCCGTGCTTCAGTCACTACTCCCCGAAACTCTGGAACTCTCTCCCTCAATCCCTCCACCTTGCCCCCTCCCTCCCCACCTTCAAATCTTGCCTAAAGACCTTCCTTTATCATCGTGCTTAGATTGGGGTGTAGTTTCTGAAGGCTTGCTCACCTCTGGTGGAGCAAAAGGGACAGGGCAACACACAACTGATAGTGGTTTGCTGAGCAGAGGCAAATGACATGTACTATCTTAGCGGGAATCATGGGGAAGCAGTCAGGAGTAAGAACCAGCTGGATTATCGTGCTCCCGTTTACACACCTTCTGAATGACATTGATGTATTAGCAAAGAGTCTGTGAAGAGTACTTGGGATGATTCAGAGATCCAAGTGCAATGTTACAAGGACACCTGGATTACATTGAACCTGTTCTCTAGGGCCATTGAATAAGAATTGATAATTTGCTTTGCGACTTCCTTCTGAATTTCTCATTGATTCTCAACCGAACTGAAATATCCAAAGCATATTTATTCTTCAGAAGGCAATTTTCTTCTATTAGCGTTCATATTTCAATGAGAATTGAAGCCGTGACTTTGTCTCATTAGAAGCACAGATAATGTCAGTCAAATAGAAAACAATAGATGAAGCCTGTCTTATGTTGAAAATCTATGTCTCATGTGGCAGGCAGCCTGAATCTCAAAGATATATTGGGTCTCGCAGTTTATTGTTTCAACCAGACACACTACAAGGCTTCAGATATCTGCAAATGATATGGAAATCTTTAGTCAAAAGCTATTGAGCCAACTTAAGACATCTGAATATAACCAGCACCCTCTTGCTTGCAGGAGGAATGTATTTGATGTTATCTGAATATCGTTCCAATTGAATCTCTGAGCAATACTCGCGCCTAGTTAGCTTCTATCTATTTCAGACACATTTCCATTCGGAGATGTCTGAGTGAAAATTTCCAGGCACCAACAAAAAACTTCATATATCTATTACTGTATATTATTGTATCTATTATTTTTTAGCCCGGATGAAACACTTTACTGTTGTGCTCTTACTGTGGTGGGTGAATTTGAATGAGCTAATGGCGAGTTTTTATAGTAAGTTTTTATAGTAAGTTCCCAGCAAAGATGTAGCTGAAGTTAAAATTGACTCACGTAACAAAAACAAATGATCGCAATCGGATATCACATCATCAACACCTCTCAAGGATTTACTGTAAAGTAAAGTGTAGTGACTGTGCGTTGGTAGGCAGTATGGTGAGTGATCAGAAAGCTGGTGTGCATCAGCGTCTTTTGAATACTTCAACTTTACAAAAATGTGCACATAAGACAAAATAATGTTGATTTCCTCCCTTCCCTCATTCAGTGTAATGGCAAGCAACCAAAGGCAAGCTTAAGGGATATACTAACCTCTTTTCTGTCTGCCGGATCGGAATTGGCAGATTTCCCTCGGCTGTGTTGTGGCTTCTGCAAATGGTACAACCTCTTCCCAGAGAGGAGAGATTTTTTTTATAGAGTTTTTTTGGAGTGGGAGTGGGGGTGATAGGGGGTTGAAGAGCAAGGAGAGGGACTGTTACATTAGAAAATACTCCCTCCTCAGAGTAACATTTCCTCAGTGGAGCTGTAACCCATCGCTTGTCTATGTGTGTGTTTTCATGAATAGTTAATAATCCCCAGAATGACTCTGATTGAAGGATCCTTTTTCATAGCAGGCCTGCATTATAAATGGGTCTGTCCCTTTCTATTACATAAATTGACTTGAATTTTTCCATTAATTTTCTTCATGAAGCTTTGTTCAGTGTAAAGTATCAAGTAGGCTAAGTTATTACGTATTAAGAATTCAAGGGAATTTTTCCTGTGCCAAGAATATCCAAGAGCTTTGCAATCTCTTTGCCAGTTCCTTATTATTTCCTTGCGCAATAATAGTGAAAATATTGTAATCCTTCAATTTGATAGAACACCTTTGACGTTGTCAAAGCATCTCCCAAGATTTCCTGTGAAGTGTAGTGACTGTGTAATTTGCAGGTGAACATGGCAGGCAGCCAATGTGCGCACAGCAATGTCACGTAACCAGCCGCAAAGTGAATGACCAATTTTATTTGGGAGGATTTCTCCAAGACACCCTTTTCTATTCAAATAGCGCCATGAATCTGTAACATCCATCTGAATAGACCTGAATAGATTAGACCTTGGTTTAAACGTGGCTTCTCTGACAGTGCAGTCTATCTGTATCAGAATCTCCGTCAAACTTGGGTAAATCCAAAATTCCAATGTGGGACTTGACATAGAGGCAAAAGTGCCACAGACTGAGCCACACTGGCTCAGGGTTCCCTTTTATCCACCATCTCCAAAGCATTTTCACATTTGTAAACCAGGACATTGAAGTAACCTCACAGCAATATAATCTGAACATGGTATTTCACTGTAATAGCCCAGGAGAGAAATATTTCCCCCCTAAGCGCGCTTGTACAATATTGCTTGGAAAAACAGCTCCTCCTCATGGATTTTCAACCCTTTTATTTTTTTCATTGCTAAACAACAGGGTTGCTTTGTAATTATACCGGAGTTTAGGATAGCATTGATGTACAATTTCAATGGTACGATGTGCAATGGTTGACATTATGCCTCTCATCAGTACTGCAGCCAAAAGACCATCACTTTCAAAAATGATGCCTGTCATGCTTAAAATACAAATAATTTCCCTCTCGACAATTGCCAGATTTTTGATTCACTTCCTTCCATTTTATGGCCGTAAAGTAGCTTTGTCTGCAAACGCAGTCACTGCACTTCACGGTAAAATTCCATGAAGCGCTTTGAGAATCTCAGCAACCCGATAAGACACTATATCAGACACAAGGATTGTTGTTATTCATCAGTTATTAATAATTGTTGCTCGTCACGTATAAAATATATCATTTTTCTGAGTGCCCAAAATTTGACAATTTGTTGAATTCAGTCGTGTTTCTGTAGTCTTTTGTTAAGTCTTTATAACGGGATTTCCTAGCTGAGGCCTGAAATGTCACTTTGCTGTAGTCCGCAAAGCCGCGCTGGCTGAAAATACATCACAATGTTGCTGAACAGAACAGAGTCTTTTGTCCCTTTGCCTTGAGAGGAACAGAGTAAAAGCCATTTCTGCAGACACTCAGCATCGCAGTGTCAAATGCAGCTTTTTAGCACCGCACACCACAGCGCAGCGCAGCACAGCACAAAGCTCTAAAAATAGTTCAACACCTTTTCACAGGAGATCCTGAGCCGAACATTCCTTTTGCTCAAGGAAATGGGAAATAAATTTATTATTTATTATCTCATGCAAATAGCGTATCAACACAAGTTGAGCCTTTGCTATTTTCTATTTGTATTCAACATGGAAACGTCTATACATCTTTTCGCACCCGGCCGAATGTGAACCGCCCACTGTATCACAGCAAGTTTATTTTTGGCATCTCAGTTAGCCATAACAACAGGGAGAAGTGCCTGAACATCAGCCAATTTTACCTTGTTCCTGGTTCCCCTTGTGTATTTGGGTGGCCACAGTCAATGCATTTTGTAGTAGATATTGTGAAGCACTTTAAGACAGACAACCTGTCGTGGAAGGCTATGTCTAATGCAAGGAATATGTTTTGTTCACACATCCTCTCTTAGGAACATAGAAAATAATGGAAAAAGAAAGGGCCATTTGCACATCAAATGCAAATGGAGTGTGGAGTCCTGTAGCTCAGTGGTTAGAGCACTCGCTTTGCAAGTGAGAGACCTGAGTTCAATTCCAGGCAGCGGGAAACCTTGGGCAAGTTTCCTTACTCCACACAGAGCCTAATAATAATCCCTCCAAAACCAAAAACAATAATAAATTGGTCATTTTCAATCTACGACTGTTTGTGGGACATTGCTGTGCGCAATTGGCTGCCGCGTTCGCCCACAAATATACAGTCAATTCACTTTACAGTATATTCAGTGAAGCGCTTTGAGACGTCTAGAAGACGTGAAAAGCGCCATATCAAATGCAAGGATTATTATTATTATTATCAAGCCCATTTCTTCCACAGGATCTCCTGTAATGTAACCCATCCAAACCATCAGTGAAGGAAGTTCTGTAAAGATATTCCTTGACCCCCAAAGTCAAGCTAACTCCAGGATATTCATCCAGCTCCACATCGCCATCCACAACAATACTGCATTCCCAACAATGATGCCTTGCACATTGTAGACCTGAACCTTTGCAGGCATTTTTAACTGTGTAGTATTAGAACCTGTAAGATGATTGCAGCCATCGTGTTCCCAGTAGTAAAGCTTTCTCTATTCTCTATGAGTTCTCTGCCTTGCGATCTAAGGTGCAGTTTGACTGTATGACATGCACACACCACAGAAAGCTTTCTTCACTGCAGCTCTCGAGAGTGAACCCAGAGTCTCCAGACATATCTACAATTTAACTACAATCTTTTTGTCAGCATTTTTCTGGCAAAGAACAGTACAGCCTGCCTTCCACATGCTCTCTAATGGTTCAAAATGCCGTGTTTGACGTTTTGGGGCTGGTTGGAAAATGTGGCATTACATAGTTCTTTTTATCCCTATGTTTAATAGAGTAACCATCTCAAATACCTTCCAAATTTACTACAACTAATGGCATTTCTAAAGCACTCTTCATGCTCGCTTCATGTGGACAGTGCCAAATGCTGAGCAAGAGAGGAGGTGAGACTTAAAGCACTTTTAAGACTTTTAACATGTTGCATCAATCTTAAAATAAGCTGTACTGGCACTAACCTGGCCTAACCTCAACAACCCCACTTCCCACAACCTGTTCCATATGATAATTACCCTCTAGCTAAAGAAAAAAATTCCTGGTGTCTGTTCTGAAGTTGCCCTTCACGGATTTAAGTTTGTTCTACTGTCTTGGTACGTCCTCAAACATTGTTCTGGGTTTACTTTTTTTGATCCCATTTAAGCCTCCCATTGATAATTTCTCTCCTGGACCAGTGCACCTTATTTCCCTCACTGTAACGTCACTGATAACATGTTTGAGTGGCTTTCTTCCACTCTATTCTGGCAGCGATTAGGTAGAGTTATGGAAATGCATGGAAACATGGCAAAATGTCAATTTCATGGTTTGGAAACAAAGCTATGATTTTTTTTGACGAATCGAGGAGCTCAAGTGGCAGGGAAATTGTGTCAGGCTCGAATCTCATTTCAATTTGTCTATTCAAAGCTACAGCGTAGCTCCGCTTGAATCTTTTTATGATTATTCTAGGAAAATGTGGATCTGGGAGACCTGATGTTTTCACTGTGCTATCTTCCTACTGCTGGGAGGCTCACCATCACCATCATCAAGGCACGCAACCTCAAAGCCATGGATATAACAGGAGCATCCGGTAAGGAGATGCCATTGAAAGAGAGCATGCTGGAGTTTCAGCGCTGAACGTCAACAGCCTTTTGTCTTGTGCTGAACAACGCTCTTTCCTTCCCACAGATCCGTACGTGAAGGTTTCTCTTATGTGCGAAGGGCGAAGACTGAAGAAAAGAAAAACGTCAACAAAGAGAAACACATTGAATCCCGTGTACAACGAGGCTATAGTCTTTGACGTTCCCACTGAAAATATTGACCAAGTGAGCTTGTTAATAGCTGTCATGGATTATGATCGGTGAGATTCCCGTTTAAAAATAACTTCATGCCTAATTGTTGCAGCTATTTTTGTAGACTGAAAGAAATTTGTTGGATTACAAGCTTTGTTGAATTATGTGAAGGTCGATTTAGTTTTTTTTTAAAAAGCACTATTTTGCAGTTGAGTTGGCCAGATAAAACCTTATTGTACCCATTATCCATTCATCTATCCATTAATAATGTGCAAGGTCAATGTGAAGGATCATTTTTAATTTCAATGTGCTGCTTAATCGTAACGTTCTGAGCACAACTTGTCATTTTGCACCGACTTCCCATCAGTAGGAATCCAGTGTGTGAATATTACAAGTTAGACTCCAATGTATTCAAGCCTCTTCTCTTAAAGACACAAGCGTGTCTCGTGTTATATATAGCCTTTGCTTTGGATGACTTTGCTTCGCGTCCCCAAATCCACACACACACTTTCCTCCAGGCATTGGGTCAGTAAGGTTACAGTATGCAGGTACCTCTGGATAATGTCAATGCTTGTTCCTTGGTTATGCCGTGGTGACTGGGGAAGAAGCAGACATATCATGTTAGGAGGATCTGCCCAAGGCATTTTTGACTCTGTCTCGGAGACAATATGGCCTATACCCTCCTCTCCTTCCCTCTGCCCCTCCCCCAACCCCTTGTCAAAGCGACTTGTAGCCTTAGGAATCCGTTAGCATTGCCGATGCCTTTCCGCGTTATTTGTTTGAGACACAGTTTCTGTTTTCAACTTTAAAGGAAAAATTATTATGGCAACTTTTCACAGTGTAGGTCACAACGAGGTCATCGGTGTGTGTCGCGTGGGAAATGACGCAGAGAGCCTCGGACGCGATCACTGGAATGAAATGCTGACGTATCCTCGCAAGCCCATAGCCCACTGGCATCAGTTGGCAGAGGTATGCTACCAATGCTTGGCTAACTAAAATCCATCTGATGGGTTTACCAGCTAAAATAGAACTGCAGATTTTCAGTGCAACACAATGCAATGTCATTTACATTTCTACAGCGCCTTTCACATTGGGAGGTTGGCAGGACATCACACAGGCAACTGAGCTTGGGTGGGGTGGGGGGGGGGGCAGGGGGTGAATACAAAAGGAGATCTTAAGAAGGCTTGAGGATTGGGGGGAGGGGGGGTAAGAAGATTGAATACGGCCTTTAAACGTAGGGAGAGAGGCAGAGGGAGTCCGGGATGGAGTTCCAGAGAGCAGGGGCAGAATGGCCGAGAGCTCACCCACTGATGGTGGGGCGGGGGGGGGGGGCGTGTTGACAGAGCGTTAGCAGAGTGGACAATAACTGCCAGTGTGTCACGGCCAGTCATGGGATCCTCACCCCAAAGTGTCAGAAAAAGATTATGGGTAATGGGGAGAAGCATTGCCAATAACTGGAAACGTTAGTGTCTCTGAGTCAGTTAATCCCATTGCATACCACTGCTATCTACTGACCCTAATAATAGCAAACTCCAGCTCCTTTCTGATCAGCTTCAGCTTAAACCATTCTGAACTTCAGTTATTTGGGAAAGCCTCCGTTCAATTTCCCTGTAATTAAAATCAATCCGACCTCTGAAACGGTGGCCCCTGCAACCTTCTCATTTGAATGACAGAAGGTAACAACAGAGGTTAACAGCAACTGGAACGGCTTACCAGGAAGCATGGTTGAGGTCAGGGGTTGGATTTATTTACGAAACAGTTTGATGCTGTAATAGGAAGACATTAGGTGGATATTCTGGAAGGATAAGATCAAATGAGCCGAGTGACCTCATTCATCCGTATCTCTCTTGTGATCTCGTGTCAGTCTCTGCCTCGTTCCTCTCAGCCACTTGCAGCGCTGGGTGGTGTTAGGTCATTTCAAAAAATCGACATGGTTTCGGTGTGCAGTCAACCTTTCTTTCCCCCGTCGCCCTCTTCACTCTGTGCACTTATACGTATTGATTGAATATCACTCAAATAGAACAATCTGGTACTTGATGGTCACTTTTTGTGATACAAGGGCAGGTCATGGAGAGCACTTCTACATTGTTCCCATACAAAAGGCGCTATATAAATGCAATTTGTGTTTTTTGTTACTCTTCTCGCTCTGATAGTAGCTCCTCGTAAATGACAGATAATCCACAAGAGAAAAGGTTCGAGAGGCTCCTATCCAGCCTTCCTGGTTAGTGGCTCAACTTCAAGCTGGGCACTTGTTTGGTATCAGAATTACTAAGGAGTGGTTGCCTTGTCTCCAGACATCCCACTTTCTAGTGTTCACAATATCAGTGAATTTATTGTTACTGCGGAGGTTAGTAATTGGAGGTCACTTAAATAACAGGTCAGAATTATGAATGAATGAATTTATGAATGAATGAATGAATTAATGCATTTTTACAATAACAGCAATTGAGTTCTGCTCTTGCAGATATTTTAACCGTCTCCGCCTGCTCTGATCTCTATCGCAAAGAGACGATGAAGTCAACATGCCCAGATTGACCATTGAGGGGTAACTAAAGTGTGGGAAAACTAAAACATTGTTAAGAACAACCCTAGAGGGTATCATTCCCGAGCACCATGCAAGTGTGATTCATTAGAACTGAGCATTTGACTGAAGTGGAAATTAACAAGTTAGTAATTGTCAGAATGTGTCGAAGTTGTCGAAACCCTCCAAATACAACTGGCGCTCAAGTGAATAGAATATGGCACCTGAAACAATTTAAATATCATTTAATATAATAATAATCCTTAAATTTGATACAGTGCCTCATCACGTCGTTGAGACATCTCAAAGCGCTTCACAGAATATACTGTAAAGTGAATTGACTGTGTATTTTGTGGGTGAAACAGTCACATTATATATAAATATCCAGAATTTTATTCTGAATATTTGTGCATTGTTATTTCCAGTGATCTCTAACGCTGCAATACACCTCCCGCTGTCAAGAGAGATTGAGAAACTGCAGTTGTATCTTTCACTGTGTATTTTTACATCTGTTGCTATTCTGGTCACGTTGTCCAATTCCCCCGCAGGTTATCATGTCTCTCCTCACTCAATCTTTCCCTTCCTCCCTTCCCCAGCACAAACAGTTCAATCATCTGATTCTTTCTTTATAATTTATTCCCCTAAGACCCGCTTGCTCTTTCCTGAACCCTTCACGGTCCGCATATCTCCTTCGTGTATTGAGGGCAAGTGAAACAATACAGTGCACTCCAGAAATAGCCTCGGTGGAGATCTATACAACAGTAGTATAAATTTGAAGACATTGGAAGACAGCCCACCATTCCAAACAATAGGAGAACCGTCAGATAATTCTGAACAGTTACTATGATGCTCAGTGTATTGTGTGGTGAATGTCAATTTTGGGTTGAGAGCATTCCCTGTCGTTGTGCTTTGAGACGTCTCAAAGACGTGATAAGGCGCTACATCAAATGCAAGGATTATTATTATTATTGTCCACAGAAATCAACAGCAGAATATACCCTTTGATAAGTATTGTCACATTCATGCTGTGTGGAAGGTATTGATTATTTGTTCGTTGATTATTTTTCCACATTCCTTAATTCCCTATCATCTAATTACCTATCCTCCCTAGCCTACGGCACACTTGCATTAGTTGGCAGAAGAGCAACAGGCTTGTGTTAATAACTAGGGATGAATCAGAATGGATGTTTCCAGCTGTGAATGTAGACCTTAATTGATTCTGCATCGATCTCCTCTTAGTAATAATAATCCTTGTAAATTTGATACAGCTCCTTATCACTTCTTCAAGATGTCTCAAAGCGCTTCACAGAACATACTGTAAAGTGAATTGACTGTATATTTTTGGGGTGAAACGCGGCAGCCAATTACGCACAGCAGTGTCCCACAAACAGTCTTGGAGTGAGTGACCAAATTATTATTATTATTACTTTTGAGGGATTATTACCCCTGGAAAAGCGATCTGCCAAACGACTAACAACTGGGTTACTACTTACTGCTAAGGGTAATGCACACAAATTCCTTGCAATCCAGGACCTGCACTATCTGCCTGTGGTGAACTGGTCAACAGTCATTGAGATGCAGATCAGTGACTCAGGCTTGAACTAGCAAAGGTCTGTGTTCAAAGGCTATATGAATTCTGTCCTACACAACAGTTTCACCCTAAATAAATAACATCAAAATGAGTACGGACTGTTTTCATTCTATTTCTATAATATTGACCAAGTTTTTTAATATATATTTTGTGTGTGTGCGCGATATGATGTAACATGACTGCACCTGATACGATCTATGTATAGGAAGAGAGCCTCTTGAATTTGCCCACAGCGACGGCCCTCAAACAGGCAATTAGCAAATGATGAAAAGGAGTGAAATTAAAACACGTTAAAATGTTCTGTTCACATCATTTCTCGGGCACCTGGTTCAGTAGTGATTCAATTACTAACAGCGATGCTCTCTCTCAATCTCTCTCTCTGTCTCTCTCTTTGTTTCTCCAACACAGTGGGTGGGCCAAGCTAGCAGTGGCAGCCAAGAATCATGCAATTCTCTAAAAACACCGCCATCTCCTTGAATGGGGGGGGAAAAGAAACCATTCCTACCAATGGATTTACAAGGACTAAAGGGATCTCATCACAACTAATGCCTGAAGACTTATACCGAGAGACTTACAATTCTGGGAGTTCAATGCCTATTGCCTAACTTGGAAAATCTTTTTTTCTTCTGTTTTGCTATGTTGTGTTTTTTTGTTTGTTTTTTCCCATGCATGGGGACATCGTATTCAGTTGCATGCGAGGTGGTGGTTCGTTTTAGACTTGGCTCAAAGTGAGCACGGCCGCGTCACAAACTGGACTAGCTGTGATTTTCGTTTGTGCTTTGATGACGTTCTGGGTTGAGACTCACAGAAACGGTGACCAAAATAATGTTTCTGACATCAGTGTTTTTAATCTTCCTGAATATGTGCCTGTATTTATTTGATTGGTTCATTACTTAACTAACCACAGTAATCAGTTGTCAGTTTCCAAAAAAAAATACCTTCAAATCAAACCAAAACTATTTTAATACAGGATATGCATGTTTTATTTACAGGAACGAGAATTGTAGACATTTTTACCCATGTAAACAGATGTGTGGTGTCATTTACTTCCATTACATTTTTGGTGAACTTCGTTTATTGGGGAAGGGGTGAAAATCCAATTTCTTTTTCTCCTTTCTTATCATAAACACCAATTTAAATGTACTGTGATTTATTCTTTATAGACATACTATGTTAAAAAAATGCTTTGTTTCAAATAAAGGGGAAGCAGTTTTGACATGAGCCCTTTACTTTGTCTTGTTTCTGTACTTGCTTGGGAATCCTTCTTCCAGGTGAGTCTTCAGCAGTCCCAATTGACTCAGCTGATGGAAGTGGACTGATTCCTGACACAGCAAAGATGGTGAGGGACGGATCGCTAGAAGGTAGGAACCTACAAATTGATCCTAAAACAAGAACTAAATGACTGAATGATCTACACCACTGAGGCAGAAGGTTAAGGGTTCAAGCCCCACTTGCAAGGCTTAGAGATCAAAGTCTGCTGGTGCAGTTGTTGGAGGTGACATCTTTCAGATGAGAACAATGTCCACCTGCCTGTTCAGATGGATGTCAAAGCACAAATAGAAGGAGGATGATTGTGTGTGGGTGGGGGGTGTCACAGAACAGCAAACAACAACAACAAAATTACATTTGTATAGCGCCTTTCACGTCGGGAGGACATCGCAAGGCGCTGAAGACCCAATCCTATTCTCACCCCACATCCCCATACAGTTATCAATGGGAAAAAGTTATCGAATGATTAGTAGAAGAAACACGAAGGGATGTTGCTGTAGTGTTTCCTGCTTCCACCCCGGCTGAGATAAAATAACTCTAGGACCATCCAAGTCTGTGTGGAATTTGTAGCTTCCATTAATACCTTGTGATCAAATGAGCAACTCAACTTAACCTTGTTAGGATCTGTGCCAATACATGACAGCATGCAATAATCAATTTGTATTTTGCTATTTATCAAAAGCAGCTCCTCATTGAAGGAAAATGCAAAGAAAATTGAACAAAGCGAAATGAAGAAGGGAAAATAAATACTTAATAAAAAGAAATCGCCAAGAATTCGCCGTGAGTAATCTCCCTGTCATTCTTGTTTTTAATTTATCTTTAGAGCTTTTGCTTTTCAATGACCAGGTTTTTATCTTCTATCCCTCCACGCTCAGCGCTTGCTTTGTGTTTGATCATGTCATCGTTTGTCGCTTGATATTTTCTTCATTTCAATCTTTTGTGGGCACGCTGTCCCTTCAGTGTAAATGTAATTACTGGAAGCTTTTCCACATCAAATCCAATTCTGTCTAGACAAGGACTTTAATAACTAGGGATTCATGCAATTAAGCCTTACAAACTGAAGGTTAATGCTCTTATCTATTTTATGGTCTCATAAAGCTATATTGAAGCCTCTAGCATGTGAACTGCACACCATTCTCATTATAATGCCATATATTATAACCCTGGCTGCCTCATAGAATTAATGGATTTGGGCTTCTGACTTGCAAATTATATTTTGTGTTACCTCTGCTTCCATCCTCCTACCTTTACAATGGTATATAAGGTACCATTCTAATATATAACATGCAATGTTATTCCAACATTATATTTTGAAAGTGAGACGGATTGTATAATGATGTACATGGTGAGATGTCTCCCTCTCTCACTTCACCACTTAATGTTACTTCCATTCTCTTTCTGCCTTTGAGATGCCCTGGTCTCCTGCCCATCTCTTGATGATACTCCTCTCTCTGTCTTTGAGATGTCTCTCTTGATTTCTCAAAAAAGCTCCAGTATCTGAGTTGAACTCACAATAGGTGTGGAGTGGGGAGCTGATGTGCTTTATTATAACTACTGTCAAGTAGAAAAGGGTCAGACATCAGCAGATCATGAAATATTTATCCCTAAAGGAGTGTTATTTAGCATGAATAATTTTCAAGTTTTAGCAACAGGAACTGGAAAAGGCCATTAGGGCACAACCATATGTTCCTTTGATTTAATCTCAGCCCTCCCCACTGGCTCGGCTCCTCACCACAGCTCTGTCTCCTCCCCCCCACCTACCCCATTAGAAACACATCTTGTTGTTCTTTGAACCCATTTATATTATTTACCAGTAACTTGGTCCTCAGGTCTATTCTCAACAACAACAGCCACGGCATTTTTACATTGAGATAGCACCTTCCACGTCTCGGGTATGTTTCAAACCATCTGCACAGAGCAGACTGAGAGCTCGAGCTTTCGTGAACAAGCATTCTGTTTGACTTTCCTTTTCACTCCTAAACATCCTATTTTTAAACATGTGGCCTGGTGGTTCAAACCTTCTCTGTAATGAAGAATCGCCAAGATCAGTTGTGTCAGAATTCCATTTGGGTCACCCTGAGGCCTCCTCCTTTTCAGAGCACAAACCCAACTTTCTTAACTTTTCTTAACATATCACATGATCACAAGATGGGTCTGAATGACCCCCATTGATTACCCTCTGCATTAAGAAACACTTCCTGGTGTCTGTCCTGAAATTGTCCTTTACAACTGCAAACCTATGTCCTCTTGTTTCATTGTCTTGTTGTATCCTAAAGTATTGGTCTGGCTTTCTCAATCACACGCTTTCTGTTCAATGTCGCCAATTGGACAGTGAAAAAGGTTGTTTCCATACTTCATCGATGAAGAAAATGGTTCAATTCGGATATATAAAAGTTTAACTTTTATGGTAGAGTTTTTTTTGTTTTCTCAATGTAATAATGATTTTCAGACGAATGTTTAAAGAAGAGCTTAGGCCGAAATATGATTCATTTTCTCAAGCTGTTGGACGATGTTCTGTGCAACTTTTATGATGAGCTCGCTTAACATGAACAATCCGTTAAAATAACACTTTCATCACAGTTAACAATTAACATATCTGTGGTGTTCTGTAGAGATGCGCCTTTGGTAAAAGAAAACTCATTTTTACCACCTTCCAGCATGAGATGCATTTACTTCAGGCCTGATAATGCAAACCACCTGAGAGGTACAGAGCAGATGTGTCCTGTTGGAGGCACAGAGGAGAAGCGTGAGCTGACTGCAATAGTGTTAATCATGTCGGAGTCATTCTCTTAAAGCAGGAAATTGCTCCATTAGGAAGAATCGGAAAGGCACTTAAGGGAATAGCCCAGATAGTTTAGATGCATTTATGAGGAAGCTTACTATACACACAAGGGAGAAGGGATTAGAAAAGTACAGAAGGGAATAGTGGGTGAAGACTCGTGTGGAATATAAACACTGGTACAGACTAGTTGGGCCGAATGGCCTGTGTCTGTACTGTGCAGTCTATGTAGATCACAATTACATAACTACATATAGCATGATATGGCATGCACATGGGTCCAACTAGTCCATGCTCGTGTTTACATCTGCACAAGCTCCTACCTCTCCTATCCTTTTTCCTATTTCCTTTACCTCATTTTTTTTATTCAGCAACCCTCACGCTTGCCCTACGCTATGTAACCTTGTTATCTATATAAATTTATATATAAAGCTATATAATCTTGTAATCTACTTCTCAGGTAATGTTCCCAAGGAATCCTCCTAAGAAATGCCACAGATTAGACCCCCACCTATCATTTTCTTGGCAAGCTCAATACCTACCCACGATGTGAATAGCAAACAGAATCTGTTCCATAGCGTATTTTCCTATAATTCCAATGCTGTGCTTCGGGCACTCAGTTCAACTTGCAGCATCCAAACTTTCCCAGCGTCTCTTTGAATCTCATCATGAAATCCCATTGAATAACAGGAATGCTCATTCTACATGGCACAATAATGGTGGATTAGGAAACCCTCTTATCGCCTCTCCTCCCCTCACACGTTGACCTAGAGATGGAGAAGGAAAAGCATATGAATGTGATTTTTCATCCAGACATAACAGATGCACTTTCTAGGGGATCATTGCACAGTGATCAGGAACAGAAACCTGGGCTGATTTATCCACACTCCCCCACCCCTAAAAAAAACTTGCTCAAATACATGAACTCAATTACTCCAGATGAGATAGGCTAACTCAACACATACTGAGAATCAGAAGCGAGACCTCCCTTCTCATCATAGCTGATCACTGGCCAATCTCTTTATCATCTGGGTCACTGGAGGAGTTTAAGTGGTTCTGTTTACTGCAGCCTTGCTGTGTATAACGTAGCTGACGCATTAGCCTACAAATACAGTCATTCCACTTTACTGAAGTTCCTTTGAGGCGTTCCCCCTGATGTGATATCAAATGCAAGTTTCTTCTTTTGTCTCAGTGTTCAATAGCACTTATCTGTTACACAACTTGATAGCTATCTGCATCTGCCATCAATCTCAGGCTTTCCTCTTGAGTCGAGCAAACCAGACAATCTGGCCTGTAACACACGCCGTATGCACCCTCAGCATGACTCTGTGATCAGCCAGAAAGAAACGCCCTTCAGCAGGGAATGCTCATTGTACTGGTTTAAGGCCAGCAATGTACACTTCCCCATTGTGTAGCCCCCATTGTGACCAGATGCAGTTCTATCATATTAGTAACCTCAGTGTTTGGTATAGAATAGTCAGGAATTACAGCAGTAAATTAGAGATTAAGCAAAATAGTCCTTCTAGTCTGAACTGAGTTGGTGACAGCTGTAGCACCCCAAGTAACCAAGAGAAGAACAAGCAACAACAACTTGCATTATATAACATCTTTCACATAGAGTAGCATCTCAGAACACTTAAAGCAGAGAGCAATGAGAATGAAGGATGAGCCCCTCCCACTCGTTTTCGAGGGAATTACATGAAAAGAGTTATCTCTCTGAGGACAATTTATAGAGAGCTGTAAGATGTCAATCAGGAATGGAGGGAGTTAACCAGAACAATACTTTTGAATATTCCATGGCAACAGAACAAGAGGGCAGAGAGGTTCAGGGGTGTGAACAACAATTTTTTGGGACAAACAGCAGGAATATATTTCTTTACACAGAGGGTAATCAACAGCTGAAACAGGTTACAAGGAAGGATGGTTGGGTTGGGACGCTGCACTATAAAGAAATCTACTGTAGCACAATGGGAGGACATTTGACCAGTGTATTAGTCTCAGTGATTTAGTGCCACTCATTTAAGAAACAGCTTGATGCTGGAATAGGAAGACAGTAGGGCTGGTAAATTGGACGGATGAGATCAGAATGGATGATGTGCCAGTTACAGACCAATCACAGAGTTTCTCCTCGCTTAGCCGACAGTGCCTTGATCA